CAAGCGCAAGGACCTCAGTTCAATCCCTGGTTCTGCCAAAAAAACCACCAAAAAACCCCCACAAAAAACAGAACCAACCAACCAAACAAACAAAAACCAAAGCTGCATAGTAAGACCCTGTACCAAATGCATTAAAAAGAAAAAAATAATAAAAAAATGACAACTTCTCACAATTTTTTTTTTTTTTTTTGATGGTACTGGGGATTGAACTTGGGACCTTGTGCTTGCCAGGTAGGTACTTATGCCACTGAGCTACCTCCCCAGCCCCAAAATGACAAGTTCTTGATTCACCAACCATGAGACATGTATTCACCTGACTCCTTGGATATTTGTTTTATGTGTGTATCTTTTTTTTGTTTAGGTACCGGGTATCAAACTCAGGACCTTGAGCTTGCCAGGCAGATGCTTAAGCTGCTGAGTAGTCTCCCCAGCTACCCCCTCTTTTTCTTTCTTTCTTTCTTTTTTCTTTTCTTTTCTTTTTTTTTCTTTTTCTTTCTTTCTTTCTTTTCTTTTTTTTTTTTTTGGTCTTTTTGAGACAGCATCTCTATGCAGTTCAGGCTGGCCTTGAGCTCACTGTGTAGCCCAGGCTGGTCTTGAACTCGCAATGATCCTTGTACCTCAGCCTCCCAAATACTGGATTATGGAAAACACCACTAAGCTGGCTTGGGTACATTTTAAAATATTATTTTGTGGTCCACCTGTGGTTGGTGTTTTCCATGTGGACTTCCTGAACCATGGCATTTAGAGTAGATTTCTAAATGAACAATAAGGGGCCGGGGAGATGGCTCAGTAGAATAAGTCCTTCCCTGGCAACGCAAGGGTCGGAGTTCAATCTCTGGTTTCACAAAAAAAAAAAAAAAAAAAAAAAAGAACAATAATTGTGGAGAACTTACCTGATTCAGAAATGGTGATCAGAAAGACGTTAGCCATTAGTGGGTCTTTGAACAGCTTCTCCAGTTAGACTGACTCCAGCCTTGTCAGTTCCTCTCCTGGTCCTGCTAGAATCTTCAGTGGTGACAGAGAATACTTTTTTTTTCTTGAGACTTAAGAGCCTTTTTTTCTCTTTGGGTCTTTATTATCTGCCTTACTAGCTTGCCTGGGTATCTTCTTTTAGAAATTAGAATTTAGTGTTGCTGAGGTGAAGCCTGACAACACTATATATTCAAAAACAGAACACACCCTTGGATGCTCTAAGAGGACACGTGTGTAACAGTGGAGTAGAGGCAAGGTTTGAAACCCAAATGTCAATGGAGATGTTTTGGGAATTGTTAAGTGGGTTCATTCTGATGCATCTGCAGTGACTGGGTGCAGAGCTGCCAGCATGTACTGGAAATGTCTCTGTATTTCACGTTTCCCCTTCTGTCTTCTCAGCCATCATGTATGTCATGGGAGCGCTTGGCCCTGCAGTGGGATATTTATTAGGTGGACTTCTCATTGGCTTTTATGTTGATCCCAGAAATCCTGTTCACCTTGACCAGAATGACCCTCGTTTCATTGGAAACTGGTAAGACTGCTTTCTAAATTTTGTACTTCACTTCCTAGTAAAGATGGTTAGAGAAAAGCATGTTTATATTCCAAATTTTCCCAATGAGGAGATTAGAAATAGCTGAAAGTCTCCTGGGAGTGGATGACACACAGAATAGTAACATTCTAGGGTAGCCATTTCTTTGTTCCTAGAGCTTATGAATTTATTACTGTATGTGGTTAAAGGGAATTGGGGGTTGTGATACAGTTAAGAATCTTGAGATGGGGAGATTTACTTTAGATGTTTTTGGTGGACTCATTAGTGATCAAAGAGAGGAGGGCCATTGTCAGAGAAAGAGAGGGTTAAATCAGAGGGGAGATGACCTGCTCTGGAGGTGGAGGAAGGGGCTGTGAGCTAAGGAATGCAGGTAGGAAGGAGAGGAAATAGTGTCCTCCCAGGCTACACCCTTTCCGAAGTAGCACAGCCCTGTTAATGCCAACACTATAGACCCCCGGCTTCCAAAGTTATGGATAATCCATTCCTGTTGTTTGAGTTGCTGCTATTACAGTAGCAATAGCAAACTAATGCAGAGACATTGGCAATAGCGTTCTAATTTGTGTTTTGTAGGATAGGGTCTTCTTTATAGCAAAGTCTTAGAGAAAGTCCACTGAGGCTTTGAAATAATTTTCTTTATTTCAAAGAAGAAATTGTTATGTTTGTATTTATGCTTTATGACTCTCCCCTCATGCCCAAAACTCTAGCCCTACTTTGTGCTGCCATACCCTACAAATCTTTCTTTCTTCCCTCCCTCCCTCCCTCCCTC